AAATGCCGTTTACCTTCCTGCCAGAGCGGTACCTATTTATCTACTTGCACTTGATGTGCTTTCGAACTGCTAGGTGGGCAGGAGCTGGGACCGAACAACGGGAGCTCACCTTGTCATGGGGATTTGAACCGCTGACCTTCTGATCTGTGGTTTAGACCACAACGCCACCCGCAAGTTAGGAAGACATTAATAATAAATATATCCCCTCCTGCCACCCTCAACATTCCCATAGTGTGAAGGGGAAAACATGTGCATGTTCTCTAACGCATGCACTCCTGATATGTATCTCTCGTCATGGGGAGATGTGCAAGCTCTATTTTGCACATTCTGGCAGAAGTGCAAAAGGCGGAAGTGCAATGAGTCACTCATATTTTCCCGTCCACTACTAGCTCCTCCAGTTAATACTTAAGCAAATGCGCTCTGAATAATTTCAGTCACAGCGTGAGTTTGAATGGACTTTCTTCCACCTGGGAAGCAAGAACTGAGCAATGCTTTCTTAGGCTCGAGGCTAAATCCACACGGCTTTGTTTTCTGTTTGGAGGCCTCGGCACCTCCTGCAAAAGTAGAAACAGAATGAGCAGAGGTTTAGCATGCTCCATGTATCAGATGCTCTAAATGTGCAAGGTGAGAACAAACAGGCCTGTGAGGGGCTTAAAAATCATGGCATGAATTTTTCAAAAAGCAGCTGCAGAGGGAGAGAACATCTCTTTTCTTCGTCTTAAAATATTTCTTTTTAAAAATCAAGTAGGGTGAGGAGACAGACATGAATGAATGGATTTCTTTTAACGGAGGTGAAAGTTTCAAAGAGAGGCAAGCAGACTGAAAAAGGTGGCCTTTTCCTTCAATATACATTATTGCCATTGTTTTGTAAAGTTTTTTAAAGCTTCAGTTTATGATGTATATAAACCAGAAATATAAAAACAGATGAAAATTGATCAGATTGTTTTCAGTTTGCATGCTTTCATATAACCTCCAATATTTCTTAGGTGAAAATAGGGACGTCCTATTCAACAACAACAACAACTATATTATTTATACCCCGCCCATCTGACTGGGCAATGCCCCATATGAGCATAGGAGAGCCCTGCTAAGGGCTCTAATGAAAATAGGGACATCCTATTCCGTTGTTGTTGTTGTTGTTGTTGTACCCTGCCACTGGTTGCCCCAGTCACTCTGGGCGGCTTCCAACATATATAAAAACATTATAAAACATTAAACATTAAAAAAACTTCCCTATACAGGGTTGTCTTCAGATGTATTCTAAAGGTTTCATAGTTATTTATCTCCTTGGCTTGGGGGGTCACATAACTCCATAGCTTCCAACATTTTTCTGATGGAAAATAGGGATGTCCTAAGGAAAAGCGGGAAATTCTGGGATCAAATTAGAAACCAGGATGGCTTCTGTAAATCTGGGACTGGTCTGCTTTCAGCTTATCAGGAATGAGAGTATCTTGAATTTACTCAACAATCCTTTCTTTATGCTCTTGGTGGTGGGGAGGGTGGGGAGAATGACCTGTGGTATGTAGACATGGCTCTCTTCAGACTGATGTTGAGCATGTGTCAGCCAAGGGCACAACCAGCTGTAGTTGATTAATCCTGCCAGCGGATTAATTCTGATGTTAGTCTGTGAGTTAAGGGCATTTGGACTGGGCAGAGAGACACCTCAACATAACTTCCTCTTCCCCTCATTTGGATTACAACCTAAATTGATATTTATGCCCAATGGGTTTAAGTAGTCAGGGTTGAATCCAGCACAGCCCTTGCTCAATGTAATAGGCTTCCCTCTTCCTCTCTTTCCACTGCAGCGCTTCACTATGCTTCCTCAAAATCTGCTTCAGAAGGTTGGGGGACTCTATGCAGCCAGTTTGGGGGTACGTGTAGGGCTGCAGGGGGGACAACAGTTCACTCATGTCGTGCTGTATAGGTTAAAATCTGCTTGTGTAGCTTTGGAGACAACCCATAATGTTGTGTTTTTTAAAAAAACCATGTAGGTATAAATAATCCATAAAAACCATTAAAGGCAAAGGGACCCCTGACCATTAGGTCCAGTCGTGGCTGACTCTGGGGTTGCGGCGCTCATCTCGCTTTATTGACCGAGGGAGCCGGCGTACAGCTTCCGGGTCATGTGGCCAGCATGACTAAGCCGCTTCTGGCGAACCAGAGCAGCGCACGGAAACGCTGTTTACCTTCCTGCTGGAGTGGTACCTATTTATCTACTTGCACTTTTGACGTACTTTCGAACTGCTAGGTTGGCAGGAGCAGGGACCAAGCAACGGGAGCTCACCCTGTTGCGGGGATTCGAACCACCGACCTTCTGATCGGCAAGTCCTAGGCTCTGTGGTTTAACCCACAGCGCCACCTGCGTCCCTTAAAAACCATTAGTCCAATACAATAACTTGCATACACTATACATTTAGTATGGTATTCTAAAACAGAATAGATTCAGCAGCAGTAAGTCCCACTGTGTTCAATGGGGCTTACTCCTTGAACAAGCATGTTTGAGACTGCAGCTTAAAAGCACATACACATGGGAAGCTGCTAAACTAGTTAGACCAGGGGAAGGGAACTTGTTGCCTTCCAGATGTTGTTGAACTCCAACTCCCATCAACCCCAGTTAGCATGGCCAATGGTAAGTGATGATGGGAGTTGTAGTCCAACAAACATTTGCAGGGACACAGGTAAGCCACTGCTGCTATACTGCTATGCCTCTATTGAGCTTTGAGATGCTTTGATGAAATACGGAATGCACTGTTACAGATGTTGTTGAACTTCAATTCCCATCAGCCCCAGCTAGCAGGGCCAATAGCAAGGAACTCTGGGAGATGCAGTCCAGCAATATATGGAAGGCCAAAGTTTAGACAATATTTGAAAATATATGAGAACAATCTCTCCCCCCGCCCAAATCCCTTAACTATTATGTGTTTTGGGAGGGAGGGAGAGAAACATGTTTGCTTCTTTAAAAAAAACAAACCTCAGGCAAAGCACTTTGTTAAATTCCCTTCCACATCATGCAGCCCTAACTTTTACATGCATCAAAAGCAGGTATCATATGCACTATAAAATGGTTCTAACTTTAAACTGCTGTTATGCCTTTTTCCTAGAAATGACAGACTAACTGCTGTCGTTGGTGTTGATGTTAATTGCATTTTAAATTGTGTTTATTGCATGTGAAAAAGCAATAAAATACATTTGATAATCACAATAAAAAAATCAGGTGAATGACTGAGAACTGGGCTGCTGCCAAGATGCCATTGCAGGGTGCCACTGAGCACATCATTTCCCCTTTTCAAATGTGATGGTTTGGCCGGGGGCGGGGGGGACAGCACCCCATGCACTGACTTTCTGCTTGCCATGCAGTTGCTGTAGGCAAAGAAGTCCTAAAGAAAAGGAAAAAACCCACACCGACAAGTTGAAGCAGTTGTGTCACATCCACCCAGACCTTTCTAATTGGCTCTGCCTTTTATAGTTAATAAGAGGGTATTTTGAGGTTGTTGTTTTTCGGTAGCTGATGCTATTGCAGCGCTGGATAGATCCACCTTCCCCTGCTGCAAAACAACAGCAGCAACCTACAAGAAAGAGCAACACCGAGTGAGTGTCACTGATGCACGGTGGAAGGTGGGAGAACACAATCTCCTCATATGTACGACTCTTTTTCGGAGGCTACAGAAGGAGCGCCTGGTTCCTCGTGGCCTAATGTCCTTTTAATGACGCAGCGGCTCCATCTACCATTATCTCTTGCACGAAGCACACATTGACGCGCGTAATGACAGTCTCAAATTATCCATCTTGTGCAAAGAAAAGAAACGCAGCGCAGCAGACCTTTGCGTCGGGAAGAACGGCGCGAGTGCCAGCTCTAAAAGTCATCTCATTAAAATTTTCCTACAGCAGCTCTTTAAACGACCCCTCCTCTCTCCCCTGTATATTTAATGAGATTTATTTGAGACAGTTACGGAGCATCACGGAAATGCCAGCGCGGTATTAAAGAGGAGCATATTATTTTCGGGAACCGCTACTGTGCCACAGCTAACACAGGTGCGCACCTGCCTGCTCGCACTGTTGTGATAGGCAGGTCGGAGGACCGCTGCGGCTGTTGTTTTCGACGGTGGCTGCGTAGGCCACTTTGAGACAACATCAGCTGGAGCAGGTATTGAATTGATGAGGAGTGCCAGGCCAAGCCCCCTCTGCTCCTGTCTCGAAATGGTCTGCTGATATTCTGATATCATCTTCCACCCCTTTTCTTACTCCCTTAGGGGCGCTGCCTTCTCTTTCTCCATGCTCCCTTCTCCTACCACCTGAAAGCTCTCTGAAGCTTAAAGACCTGGGCCGGCTCTGGCATTGGGCAGAGGGAGGCGGCTGCCTCAGGCAGCAGATGCAGAGGAACAGGGAGCAACGGTAAGATGTTGGAGGATGCAGGTGTGGGTGTGGGCCATGAAGTCTGCTCCATACCCACTTTGTGCTTGGGTTGTCATGGAAGATGCTGACCCCAGTAAGATTCAGCTGCCAGTCTGGTTGCCTCCTGTACATGGGCTCCCCTGCTCAGCGCCTGAGGGCCCTAGTCCTGCCACTCACCACCTGGCCTGGGGCGGGGCCTGATGGGCTCGATAAAGGACTGCTGCCACTGCCGCTGCTGGGCAGAGAGGGCTCCATTTTGTTTTGTTTTTGTTTAAATTGCTGTTATTTTTTACCTATGTCATTTTAAACTGTGATATTAATGCTGTTTTCTTAGCTTTAACTTTTGATTTAGGTGGAAATTGTTTCCCATTTGGTTGTGTATTTTTTTGATGTGGTTTATTTATTGTTTGACTTTTGTAATTATGTAAATCTTGTCATGCTGTAAGCCGCCTTGAGGACTGCTTTTTTAACTGTGGAAAGGAGGCATACAAATAAAAAATGATGATGTTGAAATGATGATGATGGAATTTAGACTGGGGCTGGAGCCTCAGGCAGCAAAACACCTTGGGCCAGGCCAGTTACAGCCTACCCATTTTCAGGAGGTTGCAGCTTGGAAACACAACGGTTCGGTGCATCTGGCTGTTAACCAGAAGGATGGTGGTTCGAGCCCACCCAGGGGCAGCTGTGGATTGCAGCATTCCTGCATGGGGGGGTTTGGGGGTTGGACTTGATGACCCCTGGGGTCCAACTCTACAGTTCTATGATGATTTCTATAAAGGAAGGGAAAGTGGGCCAAAGTGCTGGGAAGATAGCACTCCCCACCCCCAGGCCAGTGAGGTAAAGGAAAGAGGGACAGAGAGGCAGAAGGAGTTTCTGCTACCAGCCTCTCAATATAAGCCAGAGAAGGTGTTGAAATTGCCCTCTTAGTGAAATTTTCTCCACATGTGGTGGTTGTGTGACAAGGTGAAGACTTTTTGGAACAGTGTGTATAATGAGTTAAAAAAGATATTTAGGTACACCTTTTATAAAAAAACCGGAGGCATTTTTGCTAGGAATGGTTGGAGAGGACATTAAAAAGGAAGATCAGAAATTCTTCCTGTCTGCCACAACAGCAGGAAGACTACTCCTCGCACAGAGATGGAAACAACAGGATATTCCAACAATTGAAGAATGGCAACAGAAAGTATTGGAGTATGCGGAAATAGCAAGGCTAACTGGAAGAATCCGACATCAGGACGATGAGAAATTCCAAAAAGAATGGTCCAAATTTATGGTATACTTAGAGAAAACTGTACATAAATAAGGACACTCACAGGACTGAAATAAAACTCATAACGTTTATTGTAAACATTTGGTTAGACCACAAGATATAATGCTGTAATATAATAAGGAATGTATGCCTAAAGTACAATACAAAAATTTATTAAGGAATCATAGACATTTATAGAATATATATATAGTAATCACGCTTAAGTAAGAGCAATGTAGAGAAGCCAGAAGAGGGGTGGAAGGAAGTTAATTCGGATAAGATATAGACTGAAAGGAGAATAATATTGTTAAGCTGTACTGTGTTTAAGATATTTGGAAAAAATTAATAAAAATTATTGAGGAAGAAGAAAAAAAAGAAAAGAAATTGCCCTCTTATGTAACAGCGATGTTGCTGCCGCAGGCCTGGATGCTGCAGGGGGAAGGATCGGGTGAGGCGGAAGCAAGGTCAGGGCTGTGCAAGAGCACTGGCAGAGCCAACCAGTGGTCCTGCTGCTGCCCCCACACCCCTGCTCCACTACTCCAGCCACTCCAGGGGGGCAGAAGGGGGGCAGAAGCAGAGGTGCCCAGATGTGCCCAGATGGAAGGGAGGGGTCTGGCTTTGATCCTTGTTTGCCTCAGTGACAACCCGCTTTTACCCGAGTGAGGACAATATTGGCGAGGAGCACCCCATGGGTTATAACTACCAGTTCTCCATATCTTATTTGAGCAAACAGCAGTTGCTTTCTCCTCCGCCGGATGATTATGAGCACATTGGTGTGCATCAGGCACATTTTGACGCTGCATACAACCAGAGAGAGGCTTTGGCGTTGCTGCCGATGTTATAAATCCTGACCGGTGGCAGCAACAGATACATTTGTTTTGGCTTAACCTGTAGTGATCCTCTGCTTCTTTTATTTTTATTTAGTCAGCCCTTAAACCCTCCGAAATGCACCTAATCCCGCTACAAAACACAACTGCTTTCTTTCTAAAGACCTTTTTAACTTGCCAGAGCCACAGCACTCTGCTCTCCTACAAACAGAAGTTTTGAAAATACCAGTAAACTAGATATGGGCAACACCTGCCTCTCAATGCACCCCCCCGAATCCGATCCAAATTATTTTAACTTCCACTGACATTCCTATAATCTCCCCCCCTCCAAATCAGCAGGGCCGTCTAAGTTTTCCTCCGCCGTGCAGCCATATAAATAAATATCAAAAGTGCCAGTACAAATAGGATATGCCACACTTAATCCTTAAGACATTAATATTCTATAGATATGGAACAGAGCATAGTGAGAAATCTATGGAGGGTATTTTTTTGTGAGGGAAGGAATACGAGAACCTCTTCCACACACACTTTGCCCTAGGAATTATCATTTTTTTTGGGGGGGGGAGCATCTTAATTGTGTAGGAATTTTTTTTTAAAGAGCTTGTTTACACATTCAAGAATATTCGGATTTTAAGAAACAAGAGCATTGATTCAAGGCACGTGATGGCTGTTAAGATCTGGGAGTTCTGGCCTAATCCCAGCCTCCTCAGTCCATGCATTTGCTGATTTGTCTGAACAGGGCTAGATGTCACAAAATAGGAGCAAGGCAGGAGGAAGCTACAGCTTATATCTAATCTTCCTTGCCTTTAATTTGCTTTTTCAGTGTACAAACCTATTTAAGACGGAAGTAAGTGTAGGAATTCTTCTCTCACAATAGATTTTTGAGTAAACCAACCCTAATGTGGTCGTTATATCCTTTGAAACGTTTCTTCTTTCACAAGATTGAAACTGCCAGCATCCAGAGAGACAAGAGGGTGGAATTGCTATGGAAGGAAACCCTGGCTGTTTATTTTACTAGACCCACCTGCTACCTATTGCACGGTCCTCCTCTACCTCCCTAACATCTTGTTCGCCTTTTGCGAAAACAGGGCCAAGCTATTGTCTCCTCCATCCATTATTTTCTAGTTCCCTCCTTGCCTTTCTCCAGGGTAATCCCATCACCGGCTGACGACAACGGCTGTGTGTTTTAATAGAATGTTCTTTGTACAAACTATCTCCTTCCGTGATTTTAAATTGCATTCTTATTTAGAAGCATTACAACAGCCACTGCTGGGCTGCCTTTTTTCGTCTTTTTTTCTTTTCCTTGAGGGGAGGAAGTGGGACGTGCTGTTGCGTGGCTGACAATAGGCGAGAGTGGGGGGAGAACAGCGTAACACAGGGGAAAAGGGGGAAAGAGAAAAATAGGATGTGGGGACGAGAGTCCATCTCTCTTGAAGGCTTATCTGCTTGCTAGCAGCCAGCCCATAAAGGAAGGGAGGAATGGGGTGGGTGGAGGGACTCGGCTGCATTAAGTCTTCTAATCGGGCAGGTAGAAGATTAAGCGCCCACATGCATGGATACACCTGCCAAGCACAGCACAAAGCTTGCATTCAGGATCCTCACACTTGGGCCGACTGTCAGGGGAGGTAGTTGGAGTTGACCTGTGTGGTTGTTTACCGCATTGGCCTGAATATAAGCCGCACCCTAATATAAGCCACAGCTTTTAAATTGGAGGGGGGGGGGGAGGGAAAAAAAGAAAACATAGCTGATTATAAGCTGTTTCCTTCCTTGCTGCTCCTGGCTGCATACTGGGCAGGGTGGGGGAGCCACACTGGCTGCCAGCAGACTGGGTGGCAAACAGTGTGGTGTAGTGGTTCAGAGCGATGGACTCGTAATCTGGTGAACCGGGTTTGTGTCTCCCCTCCTCCACATGCAGCTGCTGGGTGACCTTGGGCTAGTCACACTTCTTTGAATGTTAGCCGCTTTGAGTGATAATGCGGGATATCAAATCCAAACTACTCTTCTTCTTCCTCCTCCTCCTCCTCCTCCTCCTCCTCAATCTCTCTCTCCCTTCCCTTCTCTCTTGGGGGAGAAGATGGGGGACTACGTGTGGGGCAGGTGCCATTGCGCTGCACTCCTGGCGCTGTTTGCCCCGCGCTCCTGGCTGCATACTGTAAGGTCATTAATATAAGCCACACTTTAACTTTTCACAGTCAGAATTTGGGGAAAAGTGCGGCTTATATTCAGGCCAATACGGTATTACAGTGGTACCTCGGGTTAAGAACTTAATTCGTTCTGGAGGTGCATTCTTAACCTGAAACTGTTCTTAACCTGAGGTACCACTTTAGCTAATGGGGCCTCCCGCTGCCGCCGTGCGGTTTCTGTTCTCATCCTGAAGCAAAGTTCTTAACCTGAGGTACTATTTCTGGGTTAGCGTAACCTGAAGCTGTAATCCGAGGCACCACTGTATATCTGTATATAGGTGAGTTGTTCTGCATCTGCCCGTCATTGCCCTGTTTCTGAGGCATTATTTCTGTGCTTCTCCTTGAAACACACACTTTTTCTCTCCCTCCCCAGCCTCCTACCCTTGTTGGCTACAAGCCACCATGATTGCTTCTATCTGACTGTTCCGTGATAGGAAACAGGGAAACAGTCATGCAAATTCACAGCATCTCTTCACAAAAGCAGAGGGGAATGTTAGGCCTGCAGGGATGGGAAAGGCTGCTGTGGGGATGGGAGGGAGACTCAATTCAGTTCACATTTAAAGGAAAAAAACCAAAACCAAACCCTACCTCATTTGCGCTTTCTGAAACAATTTGTGAACCAGAACACAGCCATTAAAAACAATACAGGGCCACCTTCAGTTGTCTTTTAAAAGTAAAATACCGTATTTTTCGCCCTATAGGACGCACCGTCCCATAAGGCACACCTAGTTTTTTGGGGGGGAAATAAAGGGGAAAAAATTATTCCCCCCCCAGGCGCGGGGCTGGGGCGGGGGAGGCCCGAGCTTCCCCCGACCCCAGCCCCCAAACAGGCAGCTCTCTGCAAGCCGTGGGAGCCCAGCGCTGGCTCCCGCTGCTTGCGGAGAGGTCCGCGAAGCCTGGACGTGCTGATCTCAGCGTGCGCAGGCTTCGGCATGCAGGCAACTCTCCGCAAGCAGCGGGAGTGCTCCCGCTGCTTGCGGAGAGGTCCGCGAAGCCTGGAGAGCGAGATGGGTCGGTTGACACCGACCCCTCTCGCTCTCCAGGCTTCAGCGAAAGCCTGCATTCGCCCCATAGGACGCACACACATTTTCCCTTCATTTTTGGAGGGGAAAAAGTGCGTCCTATAGGGCGAAAAATACGGTAGTTGTTTATTGCCTTGACATCTGCTGGGAGGGCGTTCCACAGGGCAGGCGCCACTACCAAGAAGGCCCTCTGCCTGGTTCCCTGTAACCTCATTTCTCGCAGCAAGGAAACCAACGAAAGGCCCTCTGCGCTGGACCTCAGTGTCTGGGCTGGATGATGGGGGTGGAGATGCTCTTTCAGGTATACAGGACCAAGGCCGTTTAGGGCTTTAAAGGTCAGCACCAACACTTTGAATTGTGCTTAGAAATGTACTGGGATGTTGTACTTGACTGCTCTTGT